AGCTGAGAGCCTGTGGTCTACTGGTAGAGGTGTGGGCTGTGCGGAGGAGAATTGTAGACCGAACCTCTGAAGGACCTGGCGCACCAAGTGTGACTCTGTGAGAGTGATGGTGCGCGCTGCTCTGTCCCTGGAGATATGCAGTCCAAGGTAGCGGTGCAGGTCTCCTAGGTCAGTGCAGGTGTGTCTCCTCAGCAGCTCGGCCTTCTTGGAGGCCAATGCGTCTCTGTCTGCAGTAGCAAAGACCAGGTCGTCTACGTAGACAAGGATGTAGAACGGAGTCTGGCCAGGACGAAGCGAGGGGTCTGCAGCGAACGGAAAGAACTACAGTTCAGCTAGCGAAGCACGCAGCGTGTCGTGCCACTCATGAGGCACCTGTCGCAGGACGTAGACCGGGCGCCGGAGGAGCCACTAGGTCCTAGGAGGGAAGGTACCGATGAAGCCCTGCGGACGGCGCAGGTAGACATGCTCGTGTAGATTGCCCTGGAGAAACGCTGTGGAGAAGTCGAGGGAGTGTAACTCGTCGTCACGCAGCAGCGTCACCCGGGAACCTTGTCCAAAGTAGGGTCGGCAAAACCTGTGGCCGCTGGGCGGACGGCCACAGGTTAAGCTGGTGAGCGGCATAGCGAACGACGAACGGCCACAGAAAATGGGGTGCACCGACATGGATCATGGAGGTACGAGCCACCTTTATGACCAAACTTATGTGTCGCTCGGCGACCCCATTCTACTGCGGGGAGTCCGGTAGGGTGTATGACTAGGTGATGCCCTCCGCACGACAGAACTGTCCAAGTCGACCGGAGGCGAACTCGTCGTCACGGTCGGAGTGGAGACACAGCACAGGGAGACTGCAGTGGAGTCGCGCAGCTACAATCCACAGGAAAAGAACATCAGGTACGTCGGCCTTCCGCTCTAAGGGAAACACCGTGGTGTAGCGCATGTAGTCGTCGATGAGCACAAGAAAGTACCGCTCGCGATGAGGTCCGGGGACGGGGGCCGGGCCCCAGACGTCCAGGTGCAGGGTCTGGAGGGGTGCGGTGGCAGGGCGAAGCAAGGAGGAGTGAGGAGCATGGCGCAGCCGGCCCTCGACGCAGGGCGTGCATGGTGGCGCAGGTGAGGGAGGGAGGGCAGGAAGGGATGCAGGGAGACCCAGGAAGAGACCGTGCTGGGACATGTGACGCAGACTCGGGATCGCGGGGTGACCTTGGCGGTGGTGCCATAGGACCGACGGGTGAGTGAGCGACCGACACGGGCAAGCAGCGACGACATGAGATGACAAAGGGCACGGGGAGGACGCCCCAACTGGGGGGAAAGTAGTGTCCAGCGTAAACAAGCCAGACACCGGGTCCCGGAGAAACGGCGCAAGGGGTGAACCTTAGGCGGCCTCGGTACAGACAGCGTACCGCTCGTGACCAGGGAAAATAGTGGTGACGCCGAGGTCCTGAAGACAGCCGGCACCAACTAAGTTCCTAGAGAACGAAGGGATGTGCAGGCCTGTAGGGGAACCCGAGGGAACCACTGGACAGGGAAGGGTAGTGTAGCTACGAGCAACGATAGGACCAGAAGAGGGGTCAGCAAGTGCGACAGTGGCAGGCGCGGCAAACGACGTGAGTGTGGCGTGGTCGCGGAAGAAGCAAGCTGACGCACCAGAGTCAAGTGTGAAGGACAGCGAAGCAGTACCGGCAGACGAAGGATGAGCGAGGGTGGAGCCTAGGCTATACAAAGCAAATGGTCCTACGCCTTACGCAGCAAGGGAGTCTAGACTACACACAGGTCCTATGCCTAAGCTAGAGAACACAGGGTAATAAGATCCGGACACACTAGAAGCGTCAACATACAGTGAATGCAGGGCACAACGAAGAGGTCATTAAGTCGGCAAAAGCAACGGGCGGTCGGGTGCGGGCGGCGACACACAGTGCCACGGAGGGGCCCGGTCTGGAGCTGGTACTGGCAGCTCACCGCACTAAAGCCGCCGGTAGACGCAGCTGCGAGGGCCGCCACTGCGGCCACCACCTCCTCTTGGCCACCTTGGCGGGAAGCAGGCCCACGGCTACTGCTGCAGCTGCTGCAGTTGCGTCTGCTGCAACTGCTGCGGTTGCGTCTGTTACGACTGCTGCTGCTCCTGGACACTAGCTCCAACCCCCTCGTCAGAACCACTTTCCCCGCCACCACCACTACCACCACCAGCGGCACCACCACGCCCTCCCTTGGGGCCGCAACGGCCCCGACGCTGGTGTTGCTGTGGGAAGGCTGCAGTTGCAGTCTCCGTGGCAGGGGCAGCCATAGAAACCACAGCGCAGATGTCAGCGTACGTGCACTGGGAGGGAACACAACCCTGAAAGATAGGGACTGCCGCAACACCGCTCGACTGAGCGATAGTGCGCTGGCGAGTCTCTATCTCAAACAAGGCAGTGACAAAGGCGGTCAGGGTGAGGTCGCCAGGGTGCTGGCTAAGGAAGTGGTCACGGGCAATGGCTAAGCGGTCAGGCAGGCGCATGGCAATAAGGTACAGGGTAGAGCAGAACGGTGGGGGGAAGGCAATGAGCTGGGCAACAATGCTAGCAGCGCGGTAGCTAGTCTCTAGTGCACGGAGGTGGGTGGCGAGGTCAGCGACAGTGGGGAAAGTAGAAAGATCGGGGAATAGCATGGGGAGGATGAAGCGGCCAGCGGAGGCGGAGGCAGGGGTTGAGTAGCGCGCAACTACTGCGTCTAGGAAGTCCTTGGCATTTGCGACAGTAGTGAAGCGCGGACGCTCAGATAGGGGAAGCGCATGACTAATGGCGAGCTGCGCTACAACATCGCGAGAATCCCAGACAGTGCAAGCAAGAGCGGCAGCAGCAAAGGCCTCACTCTCAGCAGTGGTGGGGTCAGCAGGGAGGGGATCAGGTGCGTAGGGGCGGAGAAAACAAGCCATCAATATGCATAGCCAGGGAGTGCCCATCCTGGCGCTGACCTGTCAGGTGCCGGCAAAGATCGACAAGCCAGGCTGCGAAGCCGATCGCGTGCCCCTCCGCGTCCAGGCGAAGTACGGCGTCCGCCATCGTGCAACCTCAGCAGCACAGGTCCACAGCGGCACAATGTCACGGCGGCACAGCGGCACGGGGATACGGCGGCACAATGGCACAGGTACTCAGCGGCACGGCGACACAGCGACGTGGCGGCAGGACTCTCCGGCGGGAAAACCGGGCGAAAGGTTGAGGAGGGCCCAAGGTGCGGAGGGCCCAAGGCGCGCAATTCCGGCACGGCGCAAAGGGCCGGCGAGGTGCAAAGGGCCGGCGAGGCGCGGAGGGCCGGCGAGCACGGGAGGGGTCGGCGAGGCACGAGAGGAGCCGGCGAGCGCGCGAGGGGCCGGCGAGCGCAGAGGGCCGGCGAGGCGCACGAGAGGCGGGGCTGGTGTGCAAGGGGGGGGGGGGCGGCAAGTACGCGAGGGGCCAGCGAGCATGCGAGGGGCCGGCTAGGCACGAGGCACCGACTAGGCGCTAGGGGCCGGCTAGGCACAAGGGGCCGGCTAGGCACGAGGGGTCGGCTAGGCGCGAGGGGCCGGCTAGGCGCGAGGGGCCGGCTAGGCGCAAGGGGCCGGCTAGGCGCGAGGGGCCGGCACGGCGCGCGAGGGGCAGGCGGGATATGCAAGGGGCCTGCGCGGCGCGTAAGGGTCGGCGGGCACGCTAGGGGGGCGGCGAGGTGCGTGAGGGGCCGGCGGTAAGCTACGGGCCGGCGGGCACGCTAGGGGCCGGCGGGTACACGAGGGGCCAGCGGTACGCTAAGGGCCGGCAGTATGCTAGGGGCCAGCGGGTACGCTAGGGGCCGGCGGACGCGCTAGGGGACGGCGGTAGGCTAGGGCGAGGGGCGGAAGCGGGTGAGCGGAACTAACCTACTATGATACCATGTTAAAATACGAGAAAAAATGAACTAGAAACAAGTGTGAACAAGGGAGATATAGGGTTTGAGTTTACCTTCTAAGAACACACACCTATCTAGCCTATAACTTCTATATACAAATATATGTATAAGTTGACACTGCTGCCCATCATGTATTGCAGGGTCAGTTATGTGTCATTGCTGTCATGTCAGAACCTTGATCTTCTGTCTGTTCGGCTGTCGGTCAACGGTCCACGATCGTTGCCCTTCGTGATTCGTTACAGACGCGAACTCGACAAGAGTTCTTGCTCGAGTGTCACTTTCAGGAATGTAAGTATTTCCTTATCGTAATAGGTGGTAACACTGCCAGACTGGGTCTTATGTGGAAGGGGGGTTTTAGGGGGGTTATGGCTAGTGACGGGAAGGTGGGCATGGTGGTGGGAGAGATTTTTTTGTTGGTGCTGCTGGAAATGATGAAGACAAATCGATATCACTGGCGGCAAGGGGATTTACCGTCGAGAGATGACGTCTGATTCGTGCATATTGCGGGAAGTGTTGAGAAGTTGGTGAATGCAAGGTTCAACCAACATGGTGCAAACTAGAAGTTGATGCTAGATCGAGCTGCATGAGTTGATAGAGGTATAGGGCTTGTTTGCTCAGTGTGCAACAGCGACCTTAAATACATTGCAATCGAAGGAGCGCTTATCGCAGAGCCGTAGCAGCTCTGGTTTTGGGGCCTTTCTTGGAAGCTGCACATGCTGAAACTTTCGGGTCAAACTGCTGATCGTTTGTTGTGGCAGGTGGAGTCTTCTGATTGGTTGTTCTTCCTGCCTTGTCAGCCCATCTGACGTGTAACTGGCATATAATAGTCTACACTCACAGAATCTCCCCGCGTTTTTTCCGCATCAACCCACAGAATGCAGATTGCAGGCGCGGGGCACCCCGAAACGGGCAGCCACAACAGCGCAAACGCGCAATTGGTGCAAACCGTTCTCTTCGTTCCAATTTCCGACACCAACAATGTCGCTTGGTTGGGTTCGCATTGTTCTGTATCTGCCCAGCTGGGTGCAACCTCCGAGGGCTGTGTCCGTCAGCGTTCTTTACTTTCCGTCCGTCTTTCTTGTAGAGCGCGCTGACTGGGTCTGCCATCATCCGTCTACATCCTCTCCTCGGAAGCACTTCCCCTGAAATTGCTGGGATGAGGCGTTCACGGCTGTGGGATGAATGAAAGTCTCAAGGGATTTCGGCTTGCCTGCTAGATTCAGTTGCATCCTGTAACTAGAGAGCTTGTTAGTCCTCCTGAGCACTCCGTGGTTTTTAGTCCGTCGAACTTCGATCTTTCCTGCGTATCATGGCGGGGTACGTTAGTCTCCGCGGTTCCGACGACCCGCAAGATGAGGGTCTGCTGGGCGGCACGAGCAGCCACGCGGGCGAGGACTGGAAGGTCCGTCTCGCCACGATGGGAAAGAAGATGGGCGAATCGATGACGGCCGTCGGCGGGAAACTGACAGAATCCATGACGGAAATCGGCGGCAAGATGAAAAACATCTTCCACACTCCTACCCTCGCGGACCGTCTAGTCGAAGAAGCAACGGACGAGATCTTAATCTCGCCCGACTGGGGCCGAAACCTCTTAATCTGCGACCTGGTCAACTCGGGGAAGCTCCAGGGCGGCGAGACGGTGCGCGCGATTAAGAAGCAGCTGGCGTCGCGGAACTCGCACGTGCAGATGCTGGCCTTAGCGCTACTCGAGATGGGCGTGAAGAACTGCTCGTCGCTCTTCTCCGACGTGGCGAACGAACGCGTGCTGGACGACATGGTGCGCGTGGTGGACGAGCCGGGCAGCGCGGCGCAGCTGCGGGAGAAGGTGCTCAAGATGATCGAGGCGTGGGGCGAGGCCACGGAGGAGCTCCGGTACCTGCCTGTCTTTGAAGAGACGTACAAGGTAAGACTTCGGGTGCCGATCTTTGGTGCCGGGCAGCGCGGCGCAGCGGCGGGAGAAGGTGCTCAAGATGATCGAGGCATGGGGCGAGGCCACGGAGGAGCTCCGGTACCTGCCTGTCTTTGAGGAGACATATAAACTGAGCGGGATCCAGCAAGATCAGATATGCCTTTGGAAGGAACACTCGAGCAAATTGGTATCTGCGAGTATCTGTGCCTCGTTGAAATCAAATCTCGTCAACGGGAACATCCGCACGAGGTAACGGCGGCGAGGCATGGCATAAGGCGGTGTTGAGAGATCGTTGCGGGGTGCGGTGTGTTGTGAGGTAGCACAGTAGCGCTGCAAGACGGACCGACGGCGAGGGCTGTTAGGTCGCATCGCAACTATCCCCCTCAAACGTTTTACAATGAGGAATTCGAGCTCGATATGTGGAGGACAAACGTGTCCCCCTTGATATGGCCCTTGATATGGCCCTTGATATGGCCCTTGATATGGCCCTTGATATGTTGCACAACTCGGGGGTAAAGACTGAAGTACGTGTAACGTGTATCCTGCATGAGCAGTACGTCCTACGTACAGCAGCATCTACTGGTGCTTTTTGTGTGACGTAGACGGCTGTTCACACGAGCTAGCACGGTGCGGATTGAATCCCTCGTTTGTAACAGCTTCGATAAGGCGCATGTGAAGAGGTCGAGCTTATGAGCTGAACCAATGGTGCTTCCGACGATGCGTATATCCCGCCCGCCGTCCTCAAGTCACATTTTCCCTTACAACGGCACCCCCTCTCGACGCGCAGTGCAAATTGACTTCCGCATTCGCCCTTTTCCCAAAACCTTGGTGTTCCCTTGAAACTCTTGCACCCCCCTTCAGCATGTAACGATGTGGCACGTGCTGTTTCTCTGCACTCTTGTGAACCTGCCATTCTGGCCGGATCCAAGGGCCCTCTCTGTCTGCCGTTGGGCTGTGCCTCGAAACACTCCATGCTCATAAACCTCTCAACCCCTCCCTCCCTCTTCCCCTCTCGTAAGAGTCTCAAGATGCGAGAGGCCGTCTTGCCTCCCCGCGATGCAGAGTCCCTTGACCCCGTCTTCATCCCACCGACCAGTGTGCCGCCCGCTGCCGTTGCTCTGCCACCAAGAACTCTTCCCGCTCTCCTTCCTTCCCCTCCCCCTCCCCCCCCCCCCCCCCCCCCCCCCCCGCCCTCTCCTCTTCCCGCAGAGTCTCAAGATGCGGGGGGTGGTCTTCCCGCCCCGTGACGCCGAATCTCTCGCGCCCATCTTCACTCCTCCGGCCAGTGTGCCGCCCGCGGCCGTGCAAGCCGCCCACGCGCTTCTGGAGTCCGTGGAGGGGCAGCTGGCCAGTGAGGTGGCGCCACCTGGCGTGTCCATGGTGCCAAGACCCGAGGGCGGGCACATGGTGGTGTTCGACAGCAAGGAGATCTTCGAGATCTCGAGGAACAGCGTGGAGCTGCTGGGTACTGTGCTGTCGTCCGCACCACCTGAACAAGTGCTCACGGTAAGGGAGGGACGGAGGGGCGGAGGGACGGAGGGGCGGAGGGGCGGAGGGACGGAGGGGCGGAGGGGCGGAGGGACGGAGGGACGGAGGGGGGAAGTGGGGGATGGGGGGAGGAAGGGGTGGTGGGCACATGGTGGTGTATGACAGCAAGGAGATGTTTGAGATCTCGAGGAACAGGGTGGAAGTGCTAGGTACTGTGCTGCCCTCTGCGCCACCTGAACCAGCTCTCACGGTGAGTGGTTACATGCGTGCACTTTTGAGCAAGCTTTAATGTGCCGTGGCCCGAGGGCGGGCACATGGTGGTGTTTGACAGCAAGGAGATGTTTGAGAACTCGAGGAACAGCAAGGGGTGGTGGGCACATGGTGGTGTATGATAGCAAGGAGATACTCGAGATCGCGAAGAAGAGTGTCGAGCTGCTGGGTACCGTGCTCACTTCTGCTCCTCCCGAGCAAGTGCTCTTGGTAAGGGAGGGAGGGAAGTGGGGAGGCAGGGCGGGAGGGAGAGCGGGAGGGAGGGTGGGCACATGGTGGTGTATGACAGCAAGGAGATGTCTGAGATTGCAGAGGAACAGGTGCATGGCTGCATGACCAGGTGCATGGCTGCATGACCAGGTGCATGGCTGCATGACCAGGTGCATGGCTGCATGACCAGGTGCATGGCTGCATGACCAGGTGCATGGCTGCATGACCAGGTGCATGGCTGCATGATCAGGTGCATGGCTGCATGACCAGGTGCATGGCTGCATGACCAGGTGCATGGCTGCATGACCAGGTGCATGGTGTCATGACCAGGTGCATGGTGGCATGACCAGGTGCATGGTGGCATGACCAGGTGCATGGTGGCATGACCAGGTGCATGGTGGCATGACCAGGTGCATGATGGCATGACAAGGTGCATGGTGGCATGACAAGGTGCATGGTGGCATGACCAGGTGCATCGTGGCATGACCAGGTGCATGGTGGCATGACCAGGTGCATCGTGGCATGACCAGGTGCATGGTGGCATGACCAGGTGCATCGTGGCATGACCAGGTGCATCGTGGCATGACCAGGTGCATCGTGGCATGACCAGGTGCATGGTGGCATGACCAGGTGCATCGTGGCATGACCAGGTGCATGGTGGCACGACCAGGTGCATCGTGGCATGACCAGGTGCATCGTGGCATGACCAGGTGCATCGTGGTAATGCTCTATGGCTTCACCTTAAACGCTTGATACCCCGAACCCTCCAGGATGAGATGGTGCCAGCACTGGCAGCGCAGTGCCGAGCAGCCAAGAGCAGTCCGCTGCGGCTGAAAGAGCACGAGAACAGCGCCATGGAGCCCCCCAGAGAGACACTACTGTTTGATGCACCTCACAACTGTACCGTAAACTTCCCTTCTTTTCCCTGAACCCTTCCAACAGGATGAAGTCGTGCCAGCACTCGCAGCGCAGTGCCGGGCGGCCAAGAGCAGTCTGCTGCGGCTGATAGAGCACGAGAACAGCGCCACAGAGGCGCCCAGCGAGACGCTGCTGTTTGAGGCGCTGAGCCTCAACGACGACGTGGATAAGGTGCTCGAGAAGCTCGCCGAGCTGCGCAAACAGGGCTCCCCTAATGCTGCTAGTGGTGGTGCTGGAACAGGAGCAGGAGCAGGAGAAGGACAAGGAGCAGTGGAGCAACCAGCTGGTGCAGCGGCCACAGCAGTGCCGCCGGTTGTGCCTCCCCCAGCTGCTGCCTTCCTGTCGATGGATGAGGAGGAGGAGGGCGGGGCAGGAGGGCTGGTGCGGAACCGGGGAGGGGCGAACCAGAGAGGAGCGGCGGGGGTGATGAGTGAGGAGGAGCGGGAGTTGGCTGAGCTGGATGAGATGGTGTTTGGACGGAAGGAGGGAGGGGGAGGAGGGAGTGCGGGTGCTGGTGGAGGTGCAGGGAGCACGCAGAGCGGGGCAACCAAAAAGGATGAGGATGACTTGATTGTGTTCTGATGTGAACGGCTGCGTTGGGTGGGATGGATGAGATGGTGTTCGGGCGGCGAGAGGGAGGGCGGGGAGGGAGTGGTGCTGGTGCTGGTGGGGCGCCCAAGAAAGAGGACTACTTGATTGCGTTCTGATGTGCTGGGTTGATTCAATCAAAGGGAGGGGACTAGCTGAGCTGGTTGAGCTGGATGACATGATATTTCGGGGGAAGAGTGGGAGAGATTGTGACGTGGTGATGGGTCAAGCAAGCCTCATTAGTGGTTGGCGTGGTATGATCAAGGATAAAGTTGCCTCTTAAGGTACGTTAACTAATGCTTCGGTTGGGAGTCAGACATTTGGTTACATCAGCATAATGGCTGGTAGGAACTCACACCGCCAGGTTTTCTGTCGCGTACGTTACCCATATTGAGGGTGACGTTTTTGCAGCTACGGTCGGCATTGTTCCTATCTTGGGGAGTTGACTGGACTGCAAACGTCACGAGGCTGTGACACGCAAACGCACTGGCCGGTCAAGCTCCTGACAACTCAAAACAGGATCTCGCCCGTTACGACCATAATAATAAAAATCTTGAAACCAACAAGATCTTCTAAGAGTAGCGGAGTGAACTAGCAACGAGGGTACAGGGTGGTTTTGACCTAATGAGCTGTACTCTCTAAGGCATGCCCATATCTAGGCTATAATAATATCAAATCATATATATATATATATTATATATGTTTGTTAGGCTTGGTAGGTTTGCTACATTGCTGAATCCTACTGTAGAGGGGACAACCCCCTCTTCTTGTATCTCCTTCTCTTTCTTAGTGCTCTCTTTTCTCTCGTCAACTTTCTCCTACTCTAGCTAAACTTCTCGCTAATCCTATGCCTAGTTCCTAATCTCAGAACTGGATAATTGAATGATTAGAGAACCTGGGTACAAGGATATATATCTAAGGGTTGTACCCTCTAAGAGGTGACCCTATACAGTCTATACAAACATTAGAGATACAAATGTTTGACACACCCCCTACAGTGCATAGGGGCAGTTCCTGAACAAGCAGCTCAGGGTGGCACTACTAGTCCAGCCACTGAGACAAGGGTCTAAAGACCAGTCAAAATGAGTACAGACAAGGCAAGAACAAGACCAGGGCGGTCTCAAAACTAGAATTGAATGATTAGAGAGAGAGAGTACATGCACATATACCTAAATGTTGTACCCTCTAGGAGGTTACCCTATACGGTCTATACAAACATGATAAATAAACATGTTTGACACACCCCCTGGACTGCATAGGGGAATGTCCTAGACAAGCAGCTCAGGGCGGCACTACTAGTCCAGCCTCTGAGACAAGGGTCTAAAAGACCAGTCAGAGGGAGTACAGACAAGACAAGAACAAGTACAGGGCGGCACTACTAGTCCAACCACTGTGAGAGGACACAAGTCCAGTCTGAGTGTACACATATATATAGGACAGTACAAAGTCAAGGCACGAGTAAGTGAGGGACTACAGGAACCAGACCAAGCTGTACACAGTGCCGCTGATGATCTTTAGGCGCAAGCGCCTTCGTAAAGATATCAGCTGTGTTGGCACCGGAGGCCAAGTGTACTACGCGAGCCTGGCGACGCTGCTGTAGCTCGCGCAGGAGGAAGTACCGCAGCTGAATGTGCTTCGCTCTGCCCTCGAGTCGAGGCTCCTGACACAGGAGGATCATGGCCCTGTTGTCAGCGTACAGGACCGGGGCAGAGCTAGGCCGCTCACCTAAGTCAGTGAGCAAGAAGGTCAGCCAGCGGAGCTCCTGTGCCGCCATGGCACCGGCGTAGATCTCAGCCTCACAGCTGGACTGGGCAACAGACGAGGAGCGGGTAGCTCTCCACGAGACAGCACCTGAGCCAAGGCTAAAGCAGTAGCCCTGGGAAGACCTGAGAGTCTCGGCGTCGTCTGCCCAAGAAGCGTCTGTGTGTCCAGTAAGGACCACTGGCCTGCGTCCGCCTAGCACTAACCCCATACCCGATGTACTTGCAAGATAACGCAAAACCCTCTTAGCGGCAGACCAGTGCTGAGGTCGGTGTCTGCCTGTGGCCACGAAACGAGCCAGGATGCTGAGAGGGTATGCGAGATCTGGGCGAGTGCAAGTCATCAGGTACATGAGGCAACCCACTAGCTCAGCGTAAGGACCACTGGGATCTACCGACTCCTCAGGAACTGGAGCGGAGAGTCTGTGGTCCAGAGGAAGAGGGGTGGGCTGTGCGGAGGAGAACTGAAGACCGAACCTCTGAAGGACCTGGCGCACCAAGTGTGACTGAGTCAGGGTGATGGTGCGCGCGGCTCTGTCCCTGGAGATCTGCAAGCCAAGGTAACGGCGCAGCTCTCCAAGGTCAGTGCAGGTGTGTCTCTTCAGCAGCTCTGCCTTCACGGAGGCCAGTGCGTCCCTGTCAGCTGTGGCAAAGACCAGGTCGTCTACGTAGACGAGGATGTAGAACGGAGTCGGGCCAGCACGAACGAAGAGCGAGGGGTCTGCAGAGGACGGAAAGAACTGCAGGTCAGCAAGGGTAGCACGCAGCGTGTCGTGCCACTCACGAGGCGCCTGGCGCAGGCCGTAGACTGGGCGCCGCAGAAGCCACTGGGTCCCAGGGGGGAAAGTGCCAATAAAGCCCTGAGGACGACGCAGGTAGACCTGCTCGTGAAGGCTGCCCTGAAGGCAGGCAGTGGAGAAGTCGAGGGAGTGAAGCTCGTAGTCACGCTGAGCCGCTACGTGTAACAGAACCCGAAGAGTAGTCATCTTCGGCGTAGGAGCGAAAGTCTGAAAGAAGTCCACCCCCTCGCGCTGACTGAAGCCTCTAGCCACGTAGCGCGCCTTGAACACAGGCGGCTCTCCAGGGGGGCGCTTCACCTTGAAGAGCCAACGGCCATCGACCACGTTCACCCCAGGTGGGGGAACTGCGTCGACGAAGGTGCCGGTGGATCTCCAAGATGCCATCTCCTGTTCCATGGCAGCTATCCACTGAGAGGCCCAAGGTCCCGAAACCGCCTCAGCGTAAGTACGAGGGGTCGGGATGTCGAAAGCCTCTGGGTCACCCTCAGGGACTAGCAGCATGGAACAGAGATGGGGAGCAGCCTCGGACAGGAAAGCAAGCTCAAACTGGCGGTCCTCCAGGACGTCACTGCCGAGGGCAGGAGCACCCCCGACAGACGGAGGACAGGCAGGGTCAGAGACCAGAGCGGAGGCGTAGTCAAGGCGGCGGGTAGAGGCGAAGTCAGCGACCGCACCGACAAGGGCGTCAAGACTCGACAGTGGAACAGACGGGTCGGTAACCAGAGAGGCAAGGACCCGAGGAACAAGAGGACGAGCGGCACGAAAGTAGTCAAACAGAGGAGGAGACGCAACGACAAGGGAGGACGGAGGAGGAGACGGGAGGAGGGGAGGACGAGACGCGTGGGACCGGAGCAACATAGGGTGAGAGCGCGGGACGGGGGAGACAGGACGAGCACGGGAGGGGCGGCGAGACCAGACGTGAGAGGGAGGCGTCGGGTCAGGAGACAGAGGAGGGGACACTGGTGGGGAACGAGGGGGAAAACGAGCCGGGGACGAGTCCGGCGGAGGGAACACGGGGCCGTAGACGGGAAGAGGAGGAGACGGCAGGAGAGGAACAGGCGCAGGGTCAGTGGACGGAAGGCCGAGCAGACGGAGGGCGGACACCGGCGGGGACTGCTGCTGCGGCGACACAACACCAACACCAGGGCCACAAGCTGCGCGACGGCTACCTCCCGAACCCTCCACACCGGCACCCCCAGAAGGGACACCCCCAGGGCCCACAAACAGCGGCAGCGACGACGGCGGCGGCGGCGGCGGCTGCGGAGGCGGTGGAGGAGGAGACACCGGGGGAGGGACAGACGGCGAGGACTGCACCGGAGGACTACCAGAGTCAGAAGACTCGACGACCGGGACGACCGACGGGAGGGGGGTGACGTGAGACACACCAGAGGGGGCCGGACGGGGGGGCGGGGGGGGGGAGGGGCAGGGACCACCGGGGAAGGAGTGACCAGGAACAGGGGGGGAGTAACCGGGGGACCACGGTGGGGGAAGCGGCGGTAGAAGGAGACGGACTCGTCAAAGGTGACGTCGCGAGAGTGAAAGAAGCGGTGAGACGGCGGGTGGTAGAAGTGCCAGTCGGACGCGTCAAGGGGGAAACCGAGGAAGACGCTGGGGAGGGTGCGGGCAGTGAGCTTGTCCGTGCCAGAGGCACGAACGTGAGCAAGGCAGCCCCAGACGTGGAACGCAGACGCGTCACCAGGGGACCCGGTCCACAGAAGGGTTGGCGAAACCTGCGGCCGCTGGGGGTGCGGCCACAGGTTAAGCTGGTGAGCAGCGTAGCGCACGGCGAACGGCCACAGAAAATGGGGTGCACCGGCGTGGATCATGGAGGTGCGAGCCACCTCCATGACCAAACCGATGCGTCGCTCAGCGACCCCATTCTGCTGCGGGGAGTCCGGCAGGGTAAACGTCTGGGTGATGCCCTCCGCACGAGAGAAGCAACCAAGGACACCTGAGGCAAACTCGCCACCGCGGTCGGAGTGGAGGCGCAAGGCAGGGAGACCGCGGTGGACACGAGCAGAGACAAGCCAGGGGATGAGAACGTCAGGCACGTCGGCCTTCCGCTCCAGGGGAAAGACGGTGGTGTAGCGCGTGAAGTCGTCGACAAGCACTAGGAAGAAGCGCTCGCGACGCGACCCATGGACGGGGGCTGGGCCCCAGACGTCCATGTGCAGAGTCTGCAGTGGTGCGGTGGTAGGGGGAAACGAGGAGGAGTGAGGGGCACGGCGGAGCCGACCCTCGACACAAGGCGTGCACGGGGGGGCGGGGGAGGAGGGAAACTCGGGGAACGAACCGGGGAGACCAAGGACGAGACCGTGCTGGGACATGTGACGCAGACGCGGGAGTGCAGGGTGACCAAGGCGGTGGTGCCAAAGGAGCGTCGGGTGAGTGAGGGACCGACAGGAGCACGCAGCAGCAACCTGGGTGGACGCAGCGACCAGGGGGGAAGACCCAGCCGGGGAAGTCGCGGTGTCAAGTGTGAATAGGCCGGACACCGGGTCCCGGGGGAAAGTGGTAAGGGGGGCACTAGTGGCGGCCTCGGTACAGACAGCATACCGCTCGTGACCAGGGAACGTAGTGGTGACGCCAAGGTCCTGGAGGCAGCCGACACCAACTAGGTTCCTGGAGAACGAGGGGAGATGCAGACCTGTGAGCGAACCTGAAGGAACCGCCGGACAGGGAAGGGAGGTGGAATCGCGGGCAACGACTGGACCACCTGAGGGGTCAGCAAGAGTAACTGCAGCGGGAACAGGCAGCGGCGTCAGCGTCGTGGAGTCGCGGAAGAAACACCGGGAGGCGCCAGAGTCCAAGGTGAAGGAAAGCGCAGCAGTCGCGCGAGGCGGCAGAGAAGCGGTGGAAGCACCGAGGCTAAGCAAAGCAGGAGATCCTACGCCTGACGCAGCAGGGGAGTCTACGCTAGGAACATCTACACTAGGCAACACGGGGTAATAAGAGTGAAGCACACTAGAGTCATCAGCATACATCACATGCAAGGCTGCTACAATGGCATCCATGTCCAAGTCAAAAATCTGAATGCTACGCCTAAGCAAGCTGTGCGAGTCCGGGAGGTCGGGCGCCGGGCCAAAGCGCTGACGGAAC